ATGCGTCGCACGTTCGAGTAATCATTCTGAATGATTACAATCATTCTGAATAATTACTCCCAAGGCATCACAAATACGCAGTTGTAGTTTACACCTATTATGGCCCAGTACGTATTTGGCCATGACGGCAATTTACGGCAATGACGTATTCTATTCGCCGATGAAGGGTCAGTGGGCGGTCATACAACGTCGCATGCATCTTCATCACTAGATATATTCCATATGCATACGTATGGGCCCACATAATATACGTTTATACACCTACCGAATACAGACCTGCCTTTTTAGCTCATCTGACGTAGTCAGATGCAGCTTGTAGACTCGCATGATCGTGCGTGCGTCCGTCCGTGCGTCCGTCAACAGTTGGGCACAAATCTTAACCACTCGACGTACGGTCACGATATTCGGGACGTCGGGGAGGGGGGGGGGAGATCGTGAAAAGGACTTATGATGACAAATTTGGGGGTCAAAGGTCAAGATGTGTAAACGGAGGGGGAATATTTCCCCCTTAACTCAAGGTATAGGGGGAAATACGGAATTGCGGCACAAATCTTAACGGCTCGACCTATGCTCTTAATATTTGGTGTATAGTGTGATGGGCAGAAAACCCAACACCAGTGCGAAATTGGAGGTCACAGGTCAAAGGGCAGGGGGAAAGGTCAGATATCAGACATTTTCTGAGGACATGGCCTAATGGAAAGAGTGGAAAAAATTTTTTGTTTCAGCGCTGACTTACCATTTTTATCACTTTATTGAAAGGACCATGAAATGTGCTTTCAACTGGCGTGCAAAGAGTAAGCCCGCCGCACACGGTGAACTATCTGTTGAGCCAACGGCCTCAAGAGGCCGTTGGCTCAGCAGATAGCTCAGCGTGTGCGCGCAGATTCTGCACGATTTTTGGCCTCGCGTGGCTGTGAGACCGATATCTATCGTGTTTGATATTTGTGGCCACGCGAGGCCAGAAACTCAGCGTGTGCGGGCTCCGTGAGCTATCAGCTCAGCCACAAATATTTACCGACCAATGAAATCGCAGGAATAGGGCATGTGATTTAAAATGTCGGCGCCCACTGAACAGCAGAAAACTCTACTTTTCTGTAGATTCTGTGATTGTGCACGTACACGTGCGTGAGTGCGTGTGTACCTACACGTGCGTTCATGCGTGCGTGTGCACGTACACGTGCGTGCCTGCGTGCGTGTGCACGTACACTTGCGTGCGTGCGTGTGTGCGCGCGTGTGCAGGTACACGTTCGTGCGTGCGTGCATGCGTGCGTGTGCACGTACACGTGCGTGCGTGCGTGTGTGCGCGCGTGTGCAGGTACACGTTCGTGCGTGCGTACGTGCATCGCTATTACATGACATG